AGCGAAGTTGGAGGCAAATAAGTAAGCAAGCGTCCTGAAGTTGTTTACACAACCAGTCGGCAGGTTGCCGAACCATTACTGTGCGATTCCCTTGAGAGTCGCTGGGAAACACTTGCACCAGGTGGGATCATCCAACCCTTGAAGGTACATCAGGTTGGTGAATGCCATCAGATGGTCTTCTGGGTTAGTAGTGCCGTCATAGGCGCCTACTAGAACATTTTTTACTTTGGCCGGCTGAGCGGCTTCAGTAATTTCCTTGGAGAAGGCCGACGGCTGTTCACCAAGTCTAAGTAGCCGTAGCTGCCAGTCCATAGGTTGGACGTTTTTTGCTGCAGGTCCACCAAATGGAGGTGGCTGCATAAAATACTGTTGTTGCGGCACAAATGGTAAGTTTGGTACCGCCTGGGCACTATGAAAGCCGGACTGACGGGAGGTGCCGCCTGACTGACTCTCATGGTACGACTGAGTATGCCTCATCGAGGCATTTCGCAAACTGTCCTGAAAATTTGAAGTAGAAGCCGACTCTGATAATCGGTCATTCTTCTTCTGCTCTAGCAGGTGCCGAGCATCTGTGAACGTTTTCTTTGACCCGTCCGCCTGAATATGACGAACCGGTTTCCTATTTCCCGTAGGATAACGGAGTTTTGTGAAATCAAGAGCAGATGGCTCCCGCTTCTTGGATTTAGGATGGGGAGTCGCCTCTCGCCCTTGAACTGGCTTCCTCTTCAGTGAAGTGGAAGGTTTCTTGGCCGACTGCTCTTTGACTGAAGCAGGCGGTTTTTTGTTGATCAACTCTTGGATCTCTCCCTTGAAGTCCCTCATGAAGGTCATGAGTTCGTTCCTTGTGATGGGAGCAGACCCATCAGTCGGCTGTTTCCGAGCAAGCGGTGCGCCTGCTGGCTCGCTTCCTGTTTGAAGATACTCCCGTTCCCTCATTTCGGTATGACGGGTACGTCGGGCCCTTAGGGTCCCGTCTGGAGCTGTATGAGTTTCAACTTCAAATTCACTTTCGGTATCATGGTCCGACTGAACTTGAGGGTCGTCTAGGGGACGCCTCTCTTCTGGAGTTGGTACAGACTTGGATGCCATCTCTGAAGTACTCTCCCCACAGACGGCGCCAAATGTTTCGGGGTTTTCTGATGTCCTGCGGGAGAGTTACAATTCCGAGACTGGAACCGGACGCCTGTACCTGCAAAATAACGGAGACTCCTGAGAGCTCCGCCTCCAACGGTCAAGTTAGTACCTGATTAAGGAGTAATTAATACAGAAATTAAAGTAATGAGATCTCTCCAGGTGAGAGTGTTTGGTGTTGGTAATCTGCGTCGTTAGCGAGATTAGCCGGTTGTTAATAACTCTGTTCTTCTCTGCTTGATCTCTTGATTATTCGATTCTTTTCTGTTGTGTGATTAATGAGGATTAATCGAGTATTTATAGCCTTGAGAAGCGTGCAACTCTCTAGGTTTAAGGTAAACCTAGGGCTGACCGGGCCTCTAGACTGGACTGGGCCTTGATGGCCGGTTTTCCCATTTGGCATGGGCGGACACGTGGCGTGTCTTAAGTGGTCCGTAGAGGACGTATCTGTGACTGACACGTGGCAGGCTCCTGTTGGCCTTAGTGAAGGACACGTGGCGGAACCTGGTTGGTCCACTTGTCAGAAGGTGATTGGTGGATAAAAACCCCCTAATCAGTTTCACTCACCCAATTGGACTCCCGGAGGATATTAGTGACCATGGTAAACATTTCGCCAATTTTTATTTCCGGGCTAATAAAAGTCGAGAAATTTCAAAATTAAAGGCTAATATCCACGGTTTTTGAGAAATTTTGGAGATTTCGAGGCCCGGTGTTGAAAAGCCTCGAAAAAATAAGGGATATATCTCGGGGTCATATAATGTCATTTGAAATCATTATATGTTGTCATAAATGCTTGTGGTAGGCTTGATTTAATGAAATCGGTGCAAGTTGTATACCGGTAAATTGGTCGTTTAAAGGCAAACTAAATGGTTCAATTCACTCAATTGGACTCCTGGAGAGTATTAGGGACCATGGTAAACAATTCGACAATTTTTATTTTCGGGCGAAAAGAAGTCAAAAAATTCAAAAATTGAAGGCTAATATCCACACTTTTTGAGAATTTTTGGACGTTTCGGAGTCCGGTGTCTAAAAGTTTTGAAATTCTAGGGGATATATCTCGAGGTCATATAATGTCGTTTCGAACAATATATGATCATTATTTGTTGTCATAAATGTTCGTGGTTGGCTTGAGTTAATGAAATCGATGCAAATTGTAAACCGGTAAATTGACCGTTTAAAGGTATATTGGATAGTTCAACCCACCCAATTGGACTCCCGGAGGATATTAGGAACCATGGTAAAAATTTCGGCAATTATTATTTACGGGTGAAAAAAAGTTCAAAAATTCAAAAATTGAAAGCTTATATCCACGCTTTTTGAGAATTTTTGGAGGTTTCAGGTCACGGTGTAGAAAAGTCTTGATATTTTAGGTAGTACTTCTCGAGGTTATATAATGAAGTTTGCCATTTGGAACCATATATGATCATTATATGTTGTCATAAATGTTCGTGGTAGGCTTGAGTTAATGAAATCGGTGCAAGTTGTAAACCGGGAAATTGGTCGTTTAAAGGCAAATTGGATGGTTCCACCCACCTAATTGGACTCCTTGAAGGTATTAGGGACCATGGTAAACATTTCAGGAACTTTGGTTTTCGGGCGAAAAAAGTAAAAAAAAATTCCAAAATTGAAAGCTAAGATCCACGTTTTTGAGAAATTTTGTAGATTTCGAGGCCCGTTGTCGAAAAACCTTTAAATTTTAGGGGATACATTTCGGGGTCATATAATGCCGTTTGGAACCATTTATGATCATTATATGTTGTCATAAATGTTCGTGGTAGGTTTAATTTAATGAAATTGGTGCAAGTTGTAAACCAGTAAATTAGTCGTTTTAAGGTAAATTGGATAGTTCAACCAACCCAATTGGACTTCCGGATGGTATTAGGAACCATGGTAAAAATTTCGGCAATTTTTATTTGCGCGCGAAAAATAAGTCAAAAAATTCAAAAATTGAAGGCTTATATCCACGCTTTTTGAGAAATTTTGGAGGTTTCGGGTCACGGTGTCGAAAAGCCTTGAGATTTTAGGGAATACATCTCGAGGTCATATAATGACGTTTGGAACCATGTATGATCATTATATGTTGTCATAAATGTTCGTGGTAGGCTTGAGTTAATGAAATCGGTGCAAGTTGTAAATCGGTAAATTGGTCGTTTAAAGGCAAATTGGATGGTTCCACCGACCCAATAGGACTCCCGGGGTGTATTAGGAACCATGGTAAACATTTTGGAAATTTTTATTTCCAAAATTGAAGGCTAATATCCATGCTTTTAATTAGTTCGGGTTTGAATTGGGTTCGGTTCAAGTCAATAATTTGCGGGTTATAATCAGGTCGGGTCATTTTCAAGTCGGGTCATTCTTGGGTTTAAGTCGAGTTCGGTTCAAATCAATAATTTGCGGGTTATTATTAGGTTGGGTCATTATCAAGTCGGGTCATTCTCGGATCAATTCGGGTTATGTTCAAGTCAATAATTTACATGTTACAATCAGGTCGGGTCATTTCCAAGTAAGGTCATATTCGGTTCAACTAAATATAAATAGATAATTATCATTTTTATCAGGCTAATGATTTCCTTTGAATATAATATATATTGCAATATACTAGGGAACTATAGTCTATAATTTTGGAAGATAATTATCTCATTTGACCATACAACAAATACATATACTATATTTAACTCTTAAATTTGAGGATGATGCTCCTTTCTTTTGCTGGCCTAGACCGAATTGGTCTCCCTAGACAAAATTCTTTGATCAACAATAATAAGGTGGTCTAAATTGCATTTAAGATGATTTGAAATCGGGTTAGGAACAATTTGGGTTGAATTTAGGTCGGGTCAATAACAAGTTGTGTTGATTTTGAGTCTGGTTAGTAACAGATCAGGTTGAATTTTTGGGTCGGGTTAGTAATAGGTCTAATAAAATTCGGGTCGGGTCAATAACAAGTCGGGTTGAATTTGGGTCAGGTCAATAGCAAGTCGGGTTTGTAACAGGTTAGGTTAAGTTCGGGTCGGGTTAAATTCAGGTCAGGTTAGTAACAAGTCGGGTTAAATTCGAGTTTTGACGAGTTAAATCGGGTTTGGGTCAATTTCGGTTAAAGTCGGATTCGGTTCAAGTCAATAATTTACGGGTTACATTCGAGTCGGATCATCTCCAGGTCAGTTCATGTTCGGGTTCGGATTTCTCATACTCGGGTCTGGGGTTGGTTTCGGGTGGGGTTTGTGTCACCATTTTTTTCAGGTTCAGATGGGTCAGTTTATAATAGGGTTTGAGTCGGTATTTTGGGTCGGGTCAACTTTTGATAGGTCTAGTTGTAACTCTATGACGTTATATGTTTCGGGATCGTTCTTTGGGAAATTGGGATTTGGGAGTGAGGCTTTCATCACTTTTCTCCATTGAGTTTGACTTGGGCTTGCATACAGTTTGCCAAAGCCATAGTCTTTCAAGTCAATACGTTAAAAGCCCACAATAATAATTTTGGATACTTTTTTTTTTTTTTTTGAGGAAATAAATTTGGATACTTTATTTGGTAAAACAAGTCCAAAAATCTTGGAATCATTATCATTTTCAATAAAAAAAACGCGGCAAAATTTCGAAACTTTGAAACCCAGAAATTCCATGAAAATTTCAGAATTGGCGCTATTCAGCGCCTTGTTAAAATCAAAACGTAGGTTCACCGCCATTAATTTCAAAACCCATTTTCTCTCTCTCCTCTATTTAATTCCTTCTCTACGCTTTCTTACCAAAGTTTCTTCCTTTGTTGATTCTCTCAAAGGTATGCTTTTCTGCTTTCTTCGGCATTTCACCATGTTTTCTCTCTTTAATCTTTGAAATCTGGGTTTTTTACTTGCTTGTTCAGATATACGGGGTATTATTCTTTCTGGATTTTGGTTCTTTAAAACCATCAAATTTGGGGTTTTTCTTTCCTGGGTTAGACTCAGATCTCCAATCTTGGGGTTTATTTTAAGTTTCTGGGTTGTTAATCTTGTATAATTTGTGAGGGTCTTATCTTTAATTTAAGTTTTCAAACTCAAATTTGTTCGAATTCTTTTTCATTTGATGATAAAAAGTGAATCTTAATAATTTCTGCCCTTTTTGTGTGTGTTTCTCAGTGTTTTTGGGGTTTGAAGATCTTGAAATTTGAGGACGAAAGATGGCAGGAAAAGGAGGAAAAGGGCTATTGGCTGGTAAAACAACAGCGGGTAACAAAGAAAAAGAGAAGAAGAGACCTGTTTCTCGCTCTTCTAGAGCTGGTCTTCAGGTAGCCTTTCCTGTTCTTTCTTTGTCTTTAATTTTGGATATTTTTATGTATTATATCTTGTTTTGTGATACAAAGTTTTATTTTTAGTTAAAATATAAGTGTAAGAAATTATCATTGGATAAAAGCATGATAGTTGAACATATATTCTTGTGCTTAATCATGGATGTGTTTAGTGGTTGAGAGTATTTGATTAGTTAAGTACTTATAATCATTTGTTTTTTTTTTATTATCATTTGTTGTGTCATGCCATCTGATTTGTTGTAGCGAGCAATTAGTCTAGTAAAATGTATCAAGTTCTCATAAATGGGTGATCTTGTAATAGAGTATACCTTTTGTTTTTATTAGCATTGTTGTAATGTCTCATTTTTTGTAGTTGGTTAAAACTTAAAAGCCATTGATGGTGATTTGCTAGTAGTTTGTTATACCTCCCAATACAAGCTGATTGATTCTTTTGATTTTGTTTGAGATCTTTTTGAAAAAGTTCGTGAAGAGTGATAGACAGTACTTAATTTTTCTTGTACATATTACCTTGTCCTGTTGTCTTATGTTATCAAAGGTCATTATGATCTGAAATCATAAACAATTGACAATAATAATTAACTTCATTGTTAAACTTATCTTTAAGCTAAGGTGTGGTACATAAAAGACTAGAATTTCAATTTAATGGCTCTGGTGCTATGTTATGATTTGTGTTAGATAAATTTTAATTTGTGAGATTTTTTGTATTGAGATTTCTTCAAGATATACAATTGTTGTGAAACTTATTGTCCATAATAATATGATGTATCTTGGGCCATTATATGGTATTTCATATACTAATAGTAGTTATCTTCACTTATTGGCTATGCACATGCTCTAACATGGTATAAGTGCCATTAATTTGATTTTGACTTGTTTCGTTTGTATTGAAAACTAAGTAGATGATCTTATTATTTGTGTGCATAAGTAGTGCTAAAAATCCAGTGAAGTTGTAACCAAGATGTATCTTAGCATAAGCTCTCATGATTTGCTAGCATTTTCTCTTTTCCATCATCTCAAAGGCATATATCTAAAAGACGTGAAATCAACAGCACCTAATGTATTATAAGATGCATTCAAATACTCAACGCTTTAGGAAGCATGTGTGGTCCTGAGCTTAGGATGAAGAAGTTACTCTTGCTTTACTCAAGTTAAATTGTTGAATAACATACTTGTATCTTTATGATTTGAAACTATATGTTCTAAAAATTGAAATTTGAGGGTAATTTTCTTTGGCAGTGTACAATAATGAAACTTAATGTGGCTTCAATGATAAGTTGAAATTTGTTGAATACCATCACTTTTTGATAAGTTCCATATGTGGCTTCAATGAATTGTTTAAGTAGTATCTCAAAACAATTGAAGAATCACCTTTATTCTTCATAGTAGCTCCTTACTAGTGCATTAAGGAAGCTATATAATTAGAGATTTTGCACAAGGAGAAAAAGTATTATGCGAGATGGGTGGACTTAACTATGAGAGTTTTTGTTCATTGTTTAGCTCACTTCTTTATACCCAAAGTAGTATAAACTATAAAATATGTTTAATTCACTGCTCTTGATACCATGTGAGAGTTTATTAATGCCAATTTTTTCTGTGAGGGTTTATTGACTTGAGGTATCTACAAGGTTTTCAAGTGTTATAAAACCTGTTAGTTCATAACTAATTGTGTATCTTGAAAATGGCATGTCATATACATATGCCAATTGTATTCACTCATTGGCTATGTGCAAACTCTTACCTGTTATTAATGGCATTGATTTGAATTTGACTTTTCTAGTCTGTACGGAGTATTTCTTTTTAGGTCTACTCAGTTTTTGTTGGCACAAGTTTTGGTTAAAAGTCAATCAACACTTGTTTCAGCAAGAACTTCCAACTAGCTTGTTTAGTTGGTCATCTATTCATAGTCAACTTTCTTAAATAAGTAAAGAGAACAGTAGTGGTTTTGAGCTATCTGTGGGAGAAGCTGTGAAGGAGTAGTTGCTTTACTTGAGGCAATGTTTGAATAACATATCTTTACAGTTGTATTAGTTCATTCCATTAGGAAATCATGGAGCTCTAATGTTTTTTGGGAAAAATTCACACTTGTTTTTTTTTGGGGTCATGAATAAAGGAATTTATTTGCTGTTAGAAAGAAATCAAGTGTGATTCTTCCATTGCATTATGTCAGTATTCTTAATAGTCTAATAGACAGATTGAAGAATCAATCCTTTTGTGTACTTGGTCTTAGTTAAGTAGCAAAGTTCACTTCTCTCCAATGGTTTTCCCCTGCACAACATTCTAAGTCTTGAATCATATTAATATGGAGTACTTGCCTGTCTATTAGAAATATTCTTATTATCAATGATTATTCTGCAAGTCTAGCTACTGCCTTTTGCCTGTTCTGTTGTCCTATTGGTGGAATGGTGGCACTGTTTGTACTTCGTATTAGGATTGTCATGAACGCTTGAGTTATTGATTATTGTTATTAAACCCTTGAACTTAAAAATTTTCTGTTAAATTTTCTTATCAACCATTCTGCTTATCATCTCATTGTTGACGTGTGATATGTTCATCTTGATTTCATCTGATGTTAAATTTTCATATAAGTTATAAATTTTGCGTGGTTTGTTTGTGCGGAATTCTTCAGTTTCCAGTTGGTCGTATTCACCGTCACCTTAAGTCAAGAGCCTCAGCCAATGGTCGTGTAGGTGCAACTGCAGCTGTCTACTCTGCTGCGATACTTGAGTACCTGACTGCAGAAGTGCTCGAGCTAGCAGGAAATGCAAGCAAAGATCTAAAAGTGAAGAGGATAACTCCTAGGCATCTGCAGCTTGCTATTCGAGGGGACGAGGAGCTCGATACCCTCATCAAGGGAACCATTGCTGGTGGTGGTGTTATCCCTCACATTCACAAGTCCTTGATTAACAAATCAGCCAAGGATTAAGGATTCTTTATCTGATAATATAGGATGTAGAATAAAGTATATGCGGGATTGTTACATTCTAGCAATTTCAGCTGTAATATCTTTCTGCCAAACCTGTTGTAGGATTTCTAAGTGTGATATTTTATTAGCTATTTAGGTGCTTGTCAATTTAGTTCATTCTGGTCTCTCTGTGCAGTTCTAACTGGATTTGTCTTGTAACATGTGTTTGTTTGATGATTCAATTAAGTTTCTTGCTTGATTAAATCAGTGAAATTTCTACTGCAAGTTTAGCATCAGTTGTTTCGTTTTGTACATGTGCACATCCAATTCTTTTGATGGCATCAACAATAGCTTCATCTCATGGTAGTATACTAATCTATTCACAAAATGTTCAACTAGAAAGTGTGATCTTAACTTTTTATCTAGCTGAACTAAATTTTTTTATCAGTTTATAAGATTAGAATTTGGAGGAGCAGGGTTAAATTTCTGTGTATACCTTTGTAGAAAAGATTAAACTGATGCTAATTGAATTTTGTATGTTTAGCGAAGAATTTGATAGGTTTGGAACTCTACAAACATACAAAGACTGTCACTATTGCAATTTGCAAAGTATGGTGATTACAAATGCAATACACAGAGTACTTTGCAATGATAATTGGAGCATTGCCTAATTGTCTAACAGTGAGGCAACTAAAGAACAAAATGCCTAGAGAGTCCTTGTGTTTTCTTTTCGCTCATGGGTAATAAGGACATTTTGCCCTTTGTTAGATGGTTTGCTATCCTGTAACCATTACTTGAAATAGACGTGTGAGCAAAATACAGGAAAAAGCACACAAGAAGCATTGGTTGTTTTCTATTACCTATATATATCACTCTAATAGGTGCATGAATTTTAAGGGAAGTTCTTCTCAACTTTTCATTACAATCATCAAACAAACATCCATGGATACCAGCGCGATAAACAACAAAATTTCTCATCTAACCTTCCCTAGCCCTCACAGGAAATACTTGCACCATAACAAGATCATATCCTTTACTCCTTTTATGTCACTAAAACCATCAGCTCACAAAGTACTCGAGGTAACAAACGTGCCAAAGATAACTAGCTACCACGATACATGGCTTGATCTTATGGCCATTAATCATCTCTCTCAAAACCTACAAGCTGTTGCAGGTTTGTGATATAAGGAGTAGCTAACAAACATATAATTCGATCTCTATTTTATATGTCCTGTATACTAGTTAGCAAAACTAATTGAATATGTTTTTATGCAGGCATTCAGATAGAAGAGAAAGGTTATGATGGTTTGTTGGAAACTTGCAAAGAAGTGACTGTGAAGTTTGATCCAGTGCAACAACGAAAACTCAGCTTGGAAGGTCTTGCTAGATCCATTCCTAAGGAAATTTTTCCTTTGGCAAGTACTCTTAACCTGTTATTTCTTTAGTATATCGAAACTTACATATTGTTTGTTTTAATAAGTTGAAGAGAATGAGGCCGTAGTCCTACTAGTTAACGAGTTTCTTAGACAACCAACTAATGTTCTGAACCAAAGAAGTAAAATAAAACAACATTCTCATTTTTTCTTAAATCGAGTAGTCCTATTTTACTTTGTATGTAAAATCAATGACTAATTACTAATTGTGTTCTGAACTTTTCGTTGACAGTTGAGAGCATTGGTACCACATTGTAAGTTTACAAGAGAACTCCTAGCCAAATTCACAGGCTTGTTTTTTTCTTGGTTAGTTGGACCATCTGAGGTAAAATTTCAAGCTATATTAATAGTGTAGTTATTAATATGCTTACCAATCAAGGAAGAATGACATCTTTAGAAAAAACGCGAAAATGTGTTAAGCACTTGTTACAAGTCTAATAATGGACTTATGATGAAGTTGAAGGAATCAGAGTACAAAGGAACAACAGAGAAGAACGTGGTGCACGTAAAGAAATGCAGGTAATTATGTATATATTAACAATATGATCTTGGTGCAAACTACCATGATTAGATAAATCGATCACATTGCTTAGAACTATATGTTTCTCTAATATATATAATTAAAAATTTGTTTTTCGAATCAGGTTTTTAGAGAGCTCAAATTGTGTAGGAATGTGCACAAACCTCTGCAAGTTTCCAACTCAAACATTCATCAAGGATTCTCTAGGAATGCCAATCAACATGGTCCCTAGTATGTCTAACAGACTAACTGTTACCAACTAGTCGAAAAATTAACAGTAATTCTGCACTAATAACACTAAGGGTCCCATAATAACACCATTAAGGGTACATGGAAACACTATAATTTACATGCCCTCAAATCACAATTTGTTCTTTCCTTAATTTATTATAAAAACAGCACTTTATTTTTTTTAGCTGCATGATATCATCCTAGATGGTTATGAATCTGTTTCCTGAATGTCGTCGAGAGTCTACTGATTTTGCATTTTCATGTATTGCAACCAGTAGATATACCATCTGTTATAATCAGCAGAAATCAACTAACAGTTAGTCCAACTACAATATAATACCGGCTTTTTTACTCTAAAAATGACTTCAGGGGCACTCGAAAACTCTAGGAATAAGTAAATTTCTATATGTGATGTAAATATGTAATAGTAAGACTTATAACAGTATGTTTTTACAGATTTTGAAGATATGAGTTGTGATATGATATTTGGTGAGGAACCACCAGCACAAGATAAAGATCCTGTTACAAAACAATCTTGCTATAAACTATGTAAAATGACTAAAATCTACCATTTTTCAGAGAAATCAGAACATTATCCTAGCTAGAAAAAAATATGTTTATGTTTCATTGTTTGTTTTCAGGTAAAATCAGTAAGAGGCACACTACTGAAAGGTGCTCCTAATATGATCCAATGGTACCACCATGGTCCATGGCCGCGACACGTATGCTAAAGGCTCTCAATTTGATCCTGTAGGATATGAAATCTCCACGAACACTCGGTCAGTTGTGCATTATGAAGACCATGATTAGAAAATTGGACTTAAATGTTGATATTATACTGTGAATGATGTATTAGCCGTACAATCTGCAATTGCATTGTGGACTTGAAACAACTAAGTTGTTGTAGGCCCTTGTGTTAGTTAAGTGCATAAAAGGCAAATGAAGTTATAGAATCGGCAATTAAATTTATTTATTTTGTGACTATGGGCATAGATGATTAGGATTTTCGCTCCAATTTAGATGGCTCAGCTAAAAAGTAGGCGGTTAAGTAAAATCTGTTTATTTTTCTACGCGTAAGACAAGTGCTCATATGTATTCCATAAATGCGCGGAAAAAAAAAAAAAGTTAAAACAATGGCCCCACTAACCACCCCTTGGACTACTAACCTAGTGAAGAATATGAGAAATGAAGAGATAATTCATTAGTGGCTTACATGATGATCCAACATTAGTGGATTGTTACAGCTATATAAGTTGTCAACTTACTGTAAGTTTATGAATCTCATATTAGGCCAACTGGAAAACTTCAATGTTTGTGAAATGAATAAAATCATAACAATGTTATTAAATGAAAAAGAATATACTTGTATAAACTTGGGTTGTTAGTAGAAAAACTAGCAAAGGTGGACCAACTATGTTTGCCACCAATAAAGATACAAAATGCCATAAGTAGACAAAGGATAGATTTAGGTGGAGTTTCCTCTGCCCTTAATTGAGCAAAGCCCAAAAGGGAAGTTTTCATGAAATGCTAGTGGAAATCACCATTATGTAACCTTTGAAGCCTTTTAAAAATTAGTTGTTATAATATTATGGGATTCTAGGGTAAGTGGAGGGACAATATGGGGGTTTGAGGGGCACACTTGGATGCCCACAAATCACCCCAAAAAAAGGGGTTTGAAGGTGTATATAGTAGCATCAATAGACTTGGTAGAAGAAATTTGATGTGATCAATAGTCGCTCACATACAGGCTCATTGTGGCCTTAAGTCAATGAAAGGAGGAGTACTCATAATCGGCTAATTTGACAGTTTAAAGGCAACGTTTACTATTCCCACTACTCGATTGGTCTCCTGAGCTTTTCATGTGATTCGTGAAAAGTGCAGTGACGTATTTACTTTCCAAGTTTGTAAAGGTTAAAAATTTCCAAAACTGAAGGCAATAATCCACACTTTTAGACTTATTTTTTGAGGTTTAATTTTAAGACTTGGTTTTGAAAATTTTTGGGATGTAGGGGGTGCATCTAATAATCTATAATGTTGTTTGGAATCATAAGTGACCTCTATTCTATCTCATAAAGGCCCATGTTGGCCTTGACTCATAAAGGTTTAAGAAAGTCTACGTATGTTGCCACGTTGGTATCTTTGTACGTATAATATTTGGAAATGATATTTTTTCAAGTTATCAAACATGAATACATGATTCCCACTACTCGATTGGTCTCCTGAGTTTTTCATGTGATTCGTGAAAAGTGCAGTGACGTATTTACTTTCCAAGTTTGAAAAAATTAAAAATTTCCAAAACTGAAGGCAATAATCCACACTTTTAGACTTATTTTTTGAGGTTTAATTTTACGACTTGGTTTTGAAAATTTTTGGGATGTAGGGGGTGCATCTAATAATCTATAATGTTATTTGGAATCATAAGTGACCTCTATTCTATCTCATAAAGGCCCATGTTGGCCTTGACTCATAAAGGTTTAAGAAAGTCTACGTATGTTGCCACGTTGGTATCTTTGTACGTATAATATTTGGAAATGATATTTTTTCAAGTTATCAAACATGAATACGTGATCTACGAAGCAATTATTCAAGGATGAAGAGAAACTACAAAAACAAAGGGAATTGAAGTGAACTCCTCGCCTATGCTCTTGGGTTGCAAACAAAGGCCTGGTCCATCGGAATGGGCCTATTCTTTTGCAATGTGCATTTAATTTTTTTTGCTTTACAAAGTCCTTTAATCGAATTTTAGGGCCCAATTACCACTAGTGATAATTTGATTTGTCATAAATTGTATCAAGTATCAACCAACCATATTAATAAAGTCAAAAGGTAGAGAAAATGAACCAAATTACTTTATTTTCTCCAAATTCGTTTTGGTAAGTTTCTCTTTACTATATTACATAATAAAAAGTTACAGAGTAATCAATGTTTGTAAAGGTTGAGAACAAATTAAATAGATGATTCGAAAAATATACTCTGTACATATATACTCCGATAAAGGTATTTAGTATAAGCCTCTAAAATAACACCGAGTTACAAGTCTAGTTTACCATTGGAAAAAAAATGAATAAAAATAAAAATTAACCATTGAATTGACTTTGAGTAAACTCTTAGTTCACCACTAGGGTGGACCATGTTCTATTAGCTTCACATGGAATATAGACATTCCCCCTATATAGCTTTAGGCCAACTTTAGTACTACTAAGTTACTAACAACATGTTCATTATAAAGACAATTAAACAGTGTACTAAGTTTGATTGTTTAAAGCAAACTTCACTAGAATACATGTTTAATTAGCTCTATTCTAACCAACAAAGGGACCATCAAAGGCCTATCTATTGCATTCAATTCAATTAATATATGTGAGCCCAAAATCCATAAGTTGGGTTAGCATCAAACCAGATATCTATAAAAAGGACCTAATTTTGATAAAGTACCTAGCTAAGTATGAATTTGACAACTTTGTACTATAATTTAAAAACGACTGTATTTAATATAATTAATGAAAAATGGTCCATTTTTTAGACAAACATGGTCACTAAATAATGAAACTTTTAAAGTAAAAAAATTTTGTACAGTACCTGGTTTTTGGTCCAAGCTTTAATTTACTAATACACCAAAAGAATTGTATTGAATTTTTTGGCTTTTCAGTATAATTATTATTTTTTTACCTATTTGAAAGGGGGCAAAGAAATTAATGAAATCTGTACGAAAGAGGGACAAGAAAGGATATTGTTGGATAACTATAGTTGTCAATAATATTGCATGGAAATGACATAGGCAAGCTGTCAAAATTGGGCCAGAGTACTTATAATGGACTTAATTAAGCTAAGTGTATAATGGAAGGCCCATGTTTTTGGATGAGAATATTCCCTTTATTATTTCACGTTATCTTTTCTATCTTTCCTTTTCTTTATTTATTTATTTATTTATTTATTTATTTATTTTTATTTTATTAGTAGAAACTAGAAATAAATGTTGTTCCAATTTTTAGTTTCACTCATTTAATATACTTCTTCCGTTCCTAATAAGTTGACATTTTTTTATTACGTTTGTCAATATAAAAAATCAATCAAAAATTATCTTTAATTAGATAAATGTAAACTATTTATACATTAAGAAGACATTAAAAGAACTATTCAAAAAAAAAAAACAAAAAAAAAGTAGACATTAAAATAAACTAAAATGCGTTGTCAAAGTGATAGTGTCAACATGCAGTCAAAACATGTCAACAAATTTGGAGCTGAAAAATGTATATTTCATTAAAATTGTGATCTATATTATATACACTGATATTTGGATGAAACATATAGGAATAAAAATACAACCTAAGGTTTGATTTTATGTGTATATTTAATAAAATATTAAAAATATAAATGATAAATTAAAGTGTTAAAATGCCGATTTAGACAACATAATTTGTACTTTATGTTAAAGTTATAATGTAGGCATGAGATTTTACATAAATTATAGTAAAAAAAATGGCTAAATATAATCCTAAAACATTTTGTGTTTTACACCATACTTCATATTATAATAATCCGATAACATGTGAGTTGTAACCAGTTGTCTCACATCAGAAATATATGAAATTGGATTGTTATCACAAATTCACACCAACAATACAATCACTATCTCCATTTCAAAAGCAGTGTATAATAAGTCCATTGAAAATAAGCCTAAAGACTCTAAATTATATTATTTTCCACAAAAAATATGAAATGCATGTTCTTCCCTTAACTTCTTTCCAATGGAGTGTATGATCCTGCCAATAAAGAATTTCAACTCCATATCCGCCAATATGTGTATTTCTTCGATCTGGTGGTCTTTTCAAATTGGGACGGTCAAATGTTATCATTTTGTGTATGGTCATTATCAACAATTGTTGACATGTAAAAAGAGTAGAGTTTGGACCAATCTAAGAGATGAATGATGAATAAGACAAAGGGACTCAATTCATAACTACATGTAGGGTATTTTGGAGAAATTTTTTTTTACTAATATAATTGTCTTCACTATTGCAATTTGTTTGATTATTTGCACTACCTTTTGAATTTGTATGGTTCATGGATCAAGCGCATAATCCATTCAAATTTCATATAATAGGCTTGTAATAATGGTATACAGTAAAGTTTAAATTAAGGGCTTGTTCTCATCAGCTTCAGTTCAGTTCAGATAAGCTCCAACAAGTTCAGTCCAGTTTAGTTCTTAATTTTCTTCTCTCATAAAATATTCGGTTCAATTCAGTTACGCTCAATAAGTTCAGCTCAGTTCAACTTAGTCCAGTAAATCAAAACAGGCCCTTAATTTAAGTAGTTTGATCGTCTTTTTATCTTATTAGAGTTTTAATATACCTAATCATTTTCTTCTAATATACGAGTAGAATTATTGCAAAATATGACTTTATTACTCCGTATTATTATACGTTATATGACCAACATCGGCTATCCAATCAGAAATCTCTACCAATATGCTGAATGTAAGATGATTATTGCTCAAACTAGGATAAAATGTGACTATTCTTATAACTATTGTTAGACTAACATATCTCTCTCAACTTAAAAAGAGTTTCGAGACTTGTCCAACAACGCAAATTCTGGGGTCGCTGGGTAAGAATGCAAAGAAGAAAAAATAAAAAAAGAAGAAGCAAAAAAAAATGGCTCCGCCGAGTAAGACTGTGGAGAAGAAGCAAAACAGAATGGTTCCGGCGACTCAAAACTAAGAAGGAATACCGCCTACTAATAAAAGACCGGTTTTTGCAAAAGGCCTCGAAATGGTTCAATGGTCACTTACGATGATTTCAAAAAGACTTGAATCTTCTGTCTTTTTTAAATGAAGTCTACTAAATAGATTTTATGTAAACTTCTCCCCGTTTTTGTGACTAAAGAAGATCAGCCTACGAAAAGACTTCTTAAATCTTCGTTCTAAGATAGAGCCTCTTCTCATCATGGAGAGGGCCCGTCGTGACCTTTTGGCCAAATTTCCTCCCGAAGCCCGCGAGCAGTAC